TGGTCCCAGTCCCCATTTTGAAGAGGGGGTACAAAGCTTGCATTTTACAGTCTTTCCAAGCTTCAGTGTCCCTCAAAAATTCGCACAGATAACAATAACTAATTTTGAGATTGCTTTGTGTGAAGTTCACCACACCCAAATGGTCTGAAAAACTCCTGTTTACCTAAATACTCTCTTCCTGGCACTTTTCTTACTCAAAGACAGCCTTTAGCCCCCATCACCGGCATGGCTTGTGCTCTCCGTTTCCCCGTAGCTGTCTGAGTCTGAAGGCGAAGCCAAAGTGCACCGAACAGTTGGGTGTCCTGAGTGGCTGCCGTCATTGCTTCCCCTCCACCGAAAAGCAGCACAGCACAGACCCTATTTAGTATCCTCTTGTTCATACAACGAAGGATGTTTTCTTACTCTCCTTCCTCGGTGCGTGCTGTCAGCAGAGCCCCGAATTGCGGGGTGGATGGAAACGTCCGAGCCCCTGCTGCAGGTGTTAGCAACTGGGCTCAGGTGGCCCCAGAGCTGTAGGAGGTGGCTCTACTTTCTGTCCTAATCGCCGTCTCGGGCCCCGCTGCCACCGGGCATCGCGGGCGGCGGGTGTCACCTAGCGGCGGGTGTCACCTAGCGGCAGGTGTCACCTAGAGGCGGGCAGCGGGCGCCGGTGGGCGCCGCGCTCCTGGAGCGGCGGATAAAGCCTCCGGAAAAAATCGCCTAGCCCTGCTTCACTGGCCCTCGCAACCTGGGGCCCCGTCTACCCCCGCCCCCGGGAAACCTTGCTCCCCGCAGCACGTCCTCTGCTCGGCCCGTACCGGAGCTGCAGGGCTGCTCTCCTGCATCCGCAGCCTCCGGGCACCCCTTCGGCTGCCCCTAAGCCAAGCTGCTCCAGCTGTGCAAGGGTCCTCGAAGACGCCTTCAGTGGGGACCACGGCTCCCCCTGAGCACTGATTCCTGCATGAGAGGCAACTGATTGCTCTTCATGACCTCAAAGTAAAACAAACACCCTCCCCCCCAAAAAAATAGACAAATCCTCAAGATACACGCCTTCCAAAGCATGCCCGCTGTCTGCTTCAGCTCACCAGCACATGTAAGAAGGACTTTTCTTCACAGAGTACCAGGAGGAGTCATTTCCAGAGAGCTTCAGGGAAATAGCACTTACCTGGGAAAGGAGAATGCTATTATTAGCTCCCCAAGCCCCAGCAAGCACCACCACTTTACTCTCACCCACAGCTCAGCACTCCAGACAACTTGCCAAACAGCAGCAGCAATATAAAACACAGGAGAAATAAAAGTCTTCCCCTTCCTAGGTCTGGGAAATTTATTGCTACCTTTTGTTAGCCAGAGTGAACAGCAGGGCAAAGGGGCTAATGCTGGGCTTGCCGATGGTGTGCATTCCCTGGGGAGGGTGTAGGGCAGGTGGGGCAAGGCAGCATTGGAAAGGTACCCTCACATTCTGTGTGGATGGATGTGGCCATCTGGAGAATTGCAGTGTCTCTTGGAGGGGGAGAGAGAGCATCTCTACAAGATGCCCTCAGCAAACCCTCCATCTGCTGGGTTGATTCCTGCCCCATGAAAGATACTTCCTACGCAAACGGCATGCATGGATGGACCTACAAAGAGCTCTTCCAGAGGTGAAGCCTTCTGGAGATGCAGAGCCCTGCCTCCAGTGCCCTGCTATGCACTACTGAGTGGGGCAGCACCAGCAGAGCAAGAGTAGTCGGATAGCTCACTTATTCCACAGAGCATCACCTCTGAAGCACCAAAAACACATCAGGTATTTTAGGTAGAAAAACAGTAACTGTGGAAACACCACTTTTTCAATGTTTTGTGTCTGGCTGGGCCCAGAGAGTTGTGGTGAATGGAGCTAAATCCAGTTGGTGGACAGTTGCTAGTGGTGATCCTCAGTTTTGGGGCTGGTCCTGTTTAACATCTTTATTGATGATCTGGACATGGGGATGGAGTGCACCCTCAGTAAATCTGCAGATGACACTAAGTTGGATGATCTGCTAGAAGGTAGGAAGGCTCCGTAGAAAGACCCAGAAAGACTTGATCAATTGGCTAAGAACAACTGCATAAGGTTTCATAGGGGGAAGTGCCAGGTCGCAGCAGCCCCATGCAGCACTACAGGCTGGAGGGTGAGTGGCTTGAGAGCTGCTTGGCAGAAAGGGACTTTGGGGTGCTGGCTGACAGCTGGCTCAATATGAGCCAGCAGTGGGCCCATGTGGCCAAGAAGGCCGATGGCATATGGGCCTGTATCAAGAACAGTGTAGCCAACAGGACTAGGGCAGTGATCACCCCCCTGGACTCAGCCCTGGTGAGGCCACACCTCGAGGGCT